TTTTTTTTTTTTTTTGCCCCCCCCCCCTGAAGACAAAACCAGAACAATAACAGCCACGTAGGGCGTCCTGCAGGTCTGGTGACCATCTCTAGGCTGGGCCAAACACCCACCGACCTCCGCTGCCGCTGCGCGGGCGCACGTCCTGCTGCCCCGGTGACCAGGTGTGCGCTGCCCTCCGATTGGGCCACTGAATTCCCGCCTCAAACACCGTTTTTATTTCTCTTTTAATAAAGAGAGACTTCAGAACCGTTTTTTTTTTTTTTTTTGGTTTTATATTAACTATATAAGTAGCTTAAAGTGAAGATGTGTGGATTTTTCTTAAACTTGAATAATTTATGCAAATTATATGCTTAGAACAACATGTGGTACAGTAAAAAGAAAAAAGAGCAAAAATCACTGTAGCAATAAGAGAGCATGTAATTTTAGTAACTACTACACTGCTTTATATTTTATACCTAGGTGTTTTATGTCTCTGTGAGTGTGTTACTTTTTCATGTGTCTAAACCTACGTGTACAATTTGTACAGTCAGAGATTACAGCTGTAATAACACATCTAGGACAGTGTTAGCCTGTATTACTCAAACACCCCTGTTCCCTCTTCTTTTACACCCCTGAACGGATCTGGATCTTACTGCAGTGACTTTAAAAGGAAAACAAAGGAAACAAAACGAAAAACAAACACCAAAATAGTTGCCTCTTTGCCTTTCCTCCACCCAAGAGACTGTGTTGACTTTCTTCCCTAGGAAGAGGTCTGGTTTCAGTCGAGATGAGGTGTGGTCCGTGATGTCTGTGCAGCGAGATTTGCTTCAGGTATCAGATGCCTTTTTAATAGAGAACTGCAGCTGTTCAGAATTGTGAGGTTTCGTTGCTTTTGTGGCCAAACTTTTCGATGAAAAGGAATCACCTCCTCCGTTTGCATGTAAAGAGCAGGGACGTGATGGAGTTGCTGTCCCATCTCTCTTAATTCAGAGGTCCTAGTGATCTTCCAGAAGACAATAAGTCATCTGAAAATTTTAGCTGTGGTTGCTACACGTCTTTTAAAAAAGACCTTTGCAATTCACAGGTTTAGAAAGTTGCCACCTGAACTTCGCAGAACCGTAGGAGAACAGACTGAAAATAGCCCCCTACGATTCAATAATGTATCCAGTGCCTGTAGGTGAAGGGCTGGTGCTTCGCTGGGTAAAAATGGGACACTCGTGGTGGAAAGGAAACTTGTTGTGAGCCTTAATTTTAGTTACGGGAGCCAAAATCTTTAATTTAGTGCCAACCCTTATCTTTGAAGCCTGGGAGGAGTTGGTGTAAACGCCGTATTTAGAAAGGGGGAAAGCCTGTAGCGGTGCGAGGAATGTCATCTCTCATCGGAGAGAAACAAAGCACCTCCATTAAAAAAAAATTACAAGTAAGCTTCTTCCTCTGATAGTGAGAAGGATGCAGAGTTAACAGCAGGCTGTGTCAGGCAGCAAGAGTCTAAGAAACCTAAAGCTTTACATGAACAGAATTGTTTAGGGGATGGTTTGTTTTAATTTTTTCCTTAAGTGAGGAGAAAGGCAATTGTTCTGAATATGGTTGAGTTGCACAAGTATGAGGTGTGTGTGTGTCTTAATGTCTCAGTATTGCCTTTGTTAGTCTCTATTAGTCCATGCAGTTTGGTGGCCTGGTAAATGCAAGTCTTATTTTTAAACAGCTTTTTTTTTTTTTAAAATACAAAACCATAAAGCTTTAATGCTTGCTATTTAATAAGTAACTGTGTTTTCTTCTGTCTCTAATTTAGTGGCCATAATTTGCAGTTAATTGAACCATTCCAACCTTACCCATATTTCCTAGTTTTGTTTTATTTATTTATTTGAACTTGTTTTCATGATTGAGGACTTCCACTTCTGTCTCATGCATCTGTTTGGAAACTTCTGACCTTACAGCCAAAACGTAACTCCTTCTACTCAGTATTCGTCGTGATGCTGAAGTGTAAGATACCTGCAAATGTAAACACTACCACTTTTATTAATAAAAGCCAATACAGTGTTTTAGGGCACATTTGCATCACTGCAGCTGAGGTTGTGTCAGTATTTCCAGTATGAACCCATGGAGGGTCTATATCTTGGCACTAAATTGCCCTGAGCTAAATCTTTGCCGTACGAGGCTTCTGCTCAAGCGTGATTTGGTGGGTTGTTTTTTAAAGAGTTTCCAACACAAACGCTTGTTTTTGTTTTAAGTTACACAACTGTTTTGTTGGATGGAGGTTGGTTTAAAATAAAAAAAAAAAAAAAGGAAAAGGAAACAAAACAAAAACACGACAAAAACGACAAACAAACCTGGTTCGAGATTGTTTTTGGCACTTCTGTAATTCAGAAATGGTTTTGGTTTTAACACATAACCTTTGGCAAGCCAGTAACCTACCATATGGTTTGATCACTTTGGGTATTTTGTAAAAATAATAATAAATTGTAGAGATGTTGTGGTTTCAAAATCAGCTACTGTGCATTTGCAGTAACTTATTTCAACCCAAGGACTTCTAGGAATTTGTGCATCAGTACGTACGTTCAGTGTGATGCAGCAGGATAGCAGTAACTCCTGAAGGATTATGTGGGTTTTTTTAAAAAAAGATGGAGAGGTAAATCCACTACAGACTGAGAACAAGATTGAGCTGCTTTTGAAAGCATCGACAGCTGCTTGTAGAGGCTGAACCTGGAGCTCTGTAAGTTGTTAGGAGCAGACTTTGATGTAAAAGCACGTGAAGGCACCTGGATTGGTTGTAGACAGGACCCCCGAGGACTTGTCTTCATTTATCTGAAAACTGGTTTGAATCGTGGCATCGAGGGTAGGACCTGACTGAAAGAGTATGTCCGTAACTCCACAGGAACTGAAGCTCATTCTGTTCCAGTGTGTTGCACATAATTGATACTTGCAGGATAATTTGTTTTTACCAGTAAATCTATGCACAGAAGTATTAATGTTCATCAGTTTAGAGTCTGAGCATCTTGTAACTAGTCGTGCCGCACTATTGCTGTAAATGATGTAGGATGTTTTGTATTATATCCTATTTTCCAGTGTCAAAAACTGTACCAGGAAAAATGAAAGAGACAAATGTAACCATACAGTGACCACAGACGGAGACAGACCCCGAGAGAGCTGGGTACCAGTCCAGTGCCTTAGTGACGATGCTCTTGGTGATTGGTGCTATACAAATGTCTAAGATGGATAACGTTGTTATAAAATTACGTCATTTATTCTGGAAGAGAGTAAGTTCTCTTCTTTCCCCCACTGTGTCTAATGTGCTGTGTGTATTTCTGACAATGCTGGCACTCCTAAGACCTCTCCCATGGAAGCAGATGAAAAAATTGCTCGTAGCTGCAAGAAGCAGGATCAGGGCCATGGGTTACTGTCGGTGGAAACACAGGGACAGGTCCGCAACCCTAAAATACCTGTTGAGTGTGTATAACAGTAAAAATATTGACATGCAAACATCTGTTCGCAGTCCGAAAACAAAACTGTACCCTTCTTCCTCAGCTTGCTGTTTCTGAAAATTCATCCGCTGGGAAAAAGTCTTTCTGTTCGATGACAACCTTGGAAGTGTCTCTGTAAATAAAATAAGCTACAAAGGGGATTTCTGAACCTCTGCGGATGAAAGCCGTTACACTGAAAAATCCCTCTGGTGACTGACAAGATAGAAATTCCAGGAGTGAATCTATTTTAATCCCGGTCATAACCAGTTAGCTTAAATACTGTGAGTGGATGTGTTTCAGTTCCTAAGCAGGTAAACTGCTTGAGAGTATTTTACTGTATTGCAGAGATTGCTAAAAGCTCAGCCAGGAGTACTGGCTTCATAATTAATTGTTTTCAACCCTGATTCTTACCTTATTAAAAGTTAAAACTGCTTTTTACCCTGTCTACTTGCAGTGTGCTGAGCTGAGCAAAAGGGGTGCAATTTAAGGCACCCAAGTCTACTTGGAAAAGCAGCTTGGGAGGAGGTGGGAAGACAAACTGATCTCTCACTCCATTAAACATAAAAATAATAAGGTGGGGGTTTTTTTTCTAATTTCAGGGTTCTATAGGTTCTGTGGAAAAAGTAGGGAATTCTTCTCTAGGTTAAGAACAGCAAGTGCTCACTGATAGCTCTGCAACAAGGTTACCCAATATGTAACAGGTAATTTTCGTTTTAAGAAAAACAAAAAACTCCACCAAACCAGAATTCACAGGTTTTTCTATATGTTTTTTTTATATTATTTCAATGACAAGACAAGATAAAGTCTTTAAACATTGTCCCAAATGCAGAAAGAATGGTTTTTGAGGGAGAAGATGCTGATGATAGCGTTTTTCATGTAATATAACATGCTTTCTAAGGCCGGGGTACCAGTAGACAAATGTAAGCAAATTTAAAATTAAAATGTGAATGTATCTCTTCACTTTAATTTACCCAGTTGTTTTATTAAATGAGTTGATTAATTTATTTTATGTATATACATATATACACACAAGTTTGGAGGAAGAACAAGCTTAGGACAGAGGTAGTAACGCTGGGAATTCGCTCGGTTCCGTTGCTCTGTTACGCAGACGTGCGTCCCTGATAGCAAAGTACCGTGTTCCTATTTGTCGTTTCCCAGTGTTTGAGGTGACTTTGGAATTGTGTCATTCTTCCAACTAAAATGCAAACAGTACCAGCAGAGATCAGGCAGCTCTAGGAGGGTTACAGATTCCTGCGCCGAGCGCGTGACTGTTGAGGCTACTTGGAAAGAGGGCCCGGGCTGGTTCTTTTTCACTACGTTACCAGTTTTCTGTGGGCAGGGTCAGAAGAGCTTCTGTACAAAGACAAATCACCAGTGAAGGG